CTTTTCAAGCCCTGCTCATATTTCCACGACACCCTATTGTTGCGAAGATTGTTCCGGTATTCCGATAATTGATGTGACGCGTTGAATTATGACTTTCTATTCTGCACGAGGGTACAGCATCGTTGGGTGACTCCCATCAGGGGCTCAGAGCTGATCACTTGGGTGAGGGATCGTATTTGCCATGGAAAATTTTTTTTACTGTTGATTTTGCCTCCTTCACCTGCACTACGTACATCGTTGTGAGTATCGCAGTAGAGTCGCGGGAGGGATAACAGTCCCTGAAATGATAGCCCGCATGCCTTCCTGAACAGTTATGGCAGCATCGACGACGATGAAGCATATTGATGGAAATATTTGGTCTGTGGGAGCCGTATCCGGTCTTGATAAGGATTTTTCCGACTGTTAACTTTTTCCGATTTTTGATATTCTATATGCGTTTGCTGACCTTCTGCCGCTCGACGGCAATTTTTGGTGAAAAATTGGAAAAGTTCTGTCTCAATAGTGATAGGAAGTTGATAAGCGAAGAAGGTGCTAGATAGGTTTGGAAAGGGGGTCGTACCAGAGGCATATTGATGGAAATATGCCTCTGGTACAAGCAGCTATGGCAGCATCGACGACGATGAAGCATATTGATGAAAATATTTATGCGCATATATCGAATAGAGAGAACGTGAAGAACGATTCTGTTAAAACCCGTGGAAAAGTGTCAGTGGTGGGAGACTTGTAGAGCAGCAACTCTATAATTAGGGTCATTCACACATGGGGGTAACCAATGTCCTCGATCTTTAGTGTAGCCTGCCTGCGAATTATGCGAACGGGTTGGAGTCCAAAGGTCCCGTGGGAATGAGTGACGGTTAAGGCGTTTTACATCGATTGACATCAACGAATGGTACTTAGATTGATAAAGAACGCTTTCAAAAAATGTAACCGACTTGGTGATATTCCACGTTCAACCGTATACGTTTCAGCGAAACTTAACCAAGTTCTTTGAGTTACGACTGATAATGCGTCCCCATTTTCTCTGTCAGGAAATTCTGCTGTACAAGGTACAAGTGTCATTTCCTGTAAATCTTTGAAGTTATTGATTGTTTAGGCAAACTTTGAAGACACACGATGCCGATGTGTATGTCCAAGCACGATGTATTTTGTCGGAGATAACGTTACTGATAAAAGCGATAATCATCGACGCTATTACACTATGACTAATATTAATCCCAGTAAATGGTAGGTTGGAATAGATTGGCCGTATTAGATATTTAAATGTTTTTAGATATAATTGTTGCGTAATATAGAGAGGTTGTAAGGAGTCGCGTTGAAATCCTGAAAATGAGCCCAAACATTCCCAATGGTTTTCCGTCGTTGGCCATTCTATGCATCGGAGACGTGGAGAGGGGGGGGGGTGACTGCGTACTTCATTCAAATATGGCGCAAATGCGTTTTTTCTCGCGGGGTGTTCACATCTGAGACAACTTTCATGCTATTTTGTGCTGGGTAACGGCATGATTATGGTTGTTGCAAATCAATATCTCATCAAAAACACAGCTGCTGCCAGGTTCAATGAAGTGCGCAGCCACGCCCTTCCTAAATCGTGGATGTAGAGTCATAATTGTGGTATTTTTCTCAAGTCACAAGAGCCTCATTGTGTTAGCTTTGGAGGAACACTCCAAGACTTATTTCGACTCTTTCATATTCTTACCAAAAAGTTTTCTTTATAGACTACGTCCAAATCTATTTTCTTTTGGAACAAATTAATGTTGTTCACTACTACATCACCTACATGTTTTTTTCAGTAATCCGCAGTCTGTAGTAAAAGGTGAAGTGATGAAAGTCATTGACGACTTCCACATGGACGCTTTTTTGGCCAACTGCGATTGCCGATTCGAGAGTAGGAATACGGTAATGTTGAAAGTGAGTTTCAAATTCGCTACTCTTAACTATTACCAGTGGGATCGCCTAAATGTCGCATGGCGCTCTTTTTGATAGTTCCACAGGAACTCCTTTATATTTCAATCCTCTTTTTTTACAACATGCTAGCAGAATTACGACCTCTATGACCTTGGATCCAATTACATTGGGGAGGCGGGCATAATTTCAGTGAAATCACTGAGCGTTTATCACAGGAGGCATCTTTTTGAACGACTTAAGAAACGATATGGTACGCGAAATGATATCAGATTTATGATCAAGACATGCCTCGCGTTAATTTGGAACGCAGAAGTCGTCCTTGAAAGGTGGGTTCGTTAGTACAGCGGATGGATGACATTCTCGGAATACGGGATAGATGCACCATCGATGACTGAGGGCAATGCGCCGTTCACCTGCCCGCCAGAGTGGCATTCATAAAGGCGTTCCAGGTGATGTCGTTATTTCGCTGCTCACTCTTCACATCCAGAGTTGCAAGAGGAAAAATGCCCAAGGGGCTTAGTTTTCAACGATAGTAAATCTTAAGCATTTAACTTAGAGTAATTTCGATATCTCAAGTAGAACTTGAGTCAAAAAATTTTTTTTACTATTTAAGTAAAGATCTTTGTTCATGTTGATCGCTGATATTCATACTTGGATATGGCAGTAATGTGATTAGGCGGCAGAGAATTAGACGGAAATTAAGTGATGGCAAACTGCCCCCTCTCCCTGAGACCGCGTTCATACTTCGCGATCGGCTCGCTCGAATGACTGGATCGCTCGTCCATATCGCGCGATCACGACCGGGGACGCTTCACCGCAGAGCGTGCACCGCCGTACGCAGAATTCGGAATTGGCGCGATCCATTCTGGATGCGATTCCGGTCGCGCGAAGTTCTGAAACCGCGATTAGTCGCCCAAGTCATCAATTTTGCGGAGATATTCAAATCCAGTGCATGAATGCGGTCGAGCTTTCCGCACGATCTCTTTGTCTCTATCCGCTACCCTTCAACTACGGAGCGTCCGAGTTTCATCTATGCGTTGCAGGTTGTTGTAATATTTGTGATCTGTGTGATTATGGTGCTTGTAACGTATATGGCTTTCTTAATGTGCTTGGATCCAATGCTACGTAAGCAAAGGTTCAGTCAGCCTTCATATCGACAACAAAATGATGAGGTGAGTCCCATTTAGCACATCCTTGAATTTCACAAGACTTTAAACTTCAAGAAAACAGGCGGCTGTAAGTTACCCGGTTGAAAATTACGCGTAAAATTAGAGCTCCGTGAATGCTTTAGGGAGCTCTGCAGTGAGGTCAGGAAGGGAGAGCGACCCTAGTTACGCTTTCCACATGACCGGGGGCTCTCCCACGCACTCAGTTCTACGCGTAGTTTGGGGTACCGTACTGCTGCCTGTTTTCCTGAACATCTAATTTGGTTCAATTTCTAGGTGTAGAATTTACATATTAAGGTGATTCACATTGATGTCTACATTCGTTTTCAGATAGAGGACAACATTTTTGCGCGAGCAGTCGACACTTCTTCATCCGAAGGCACTTCAGCGGCAACAGTTCGTGCGAGGACGAGCAGTAAGCCAAGTAAGTAGTGTGCCAAAAGGCAGCGGCACGATGGCTGGGGGCGGGTGGTTACTGGAATGAAGGACTGCGAGAAGGCGTTTGGCCACATCCACTCAGCCCTTTTACCAATGACATTGGCAGTAACCGCCCGGCCCCAGCCGTCGTGCCCACTGCCATCAGTTCAAAGGACGCGTCATTGAGTTGTGCCTTCCAAGGCCAAAATGCCTTTCCTAGCATTTGCAGAAGTGAGTTCATTCTCCCAAAATGATCAAATTGTGGTGAGCAAATGAAATTTGCATTTCATTCTTCGTATTTCCTTCAACTCGAGTGCTATGCGACTGGGGAACATCTGTAAAAGGAAGCCCTTGAGCTCTGCAATTCCTGTATTGTTCCTTTCAGACGTCCTTGGACGAGTCGAAGCCGAACAGAACCGATGGATGAAAAAAGTGGAAGAACAGAGAAGAAATATTTTCGAAGATCATACAATGCTGAACTGAACCGTGCTATCACAATTTTCCACGAATTTCCTTTGTTCTCAAACGGGATAGAGTTTCTCAGACATTTTGGAACAGATTTGGAATTTCTACCCCATTTTTCGGGACCACAGCCAGCGTAAGTAGAGTTTATTGCGCGCGATCGCGAAGCGGTGCATGTCACGTATAGTTGGCTGTAAGCCCTTAGGCAAGGATATTTGACCCAAGCAGAACTACGTGCTTCAAAGTAGGTTCACCATCCAAGGGCTCCTCCCCCTTGCTTAGGCCGCGTTCATCCCGAAAGATTCCGCGGACTCTGCGAAAAATAGTGTGCCTATTAAGTGCTACAGACCGGCAGAACCCGCGGAATCAGCGGTATTGAAAGGATCTGCGAAAACGCCGTAGAAGACTTGGTAGAGACTGGTTACTTAGTCCTGCTCTCTGTGCGTATCATCAGATCTCGCGGAATCTTCTCCGTAGAAGTTCTGTTTTTCATCACAGTAATCCCAGCTCTGCTCGAGAGGTTCTCTGGATGCCCCCCCCCCGACTATTTTTGGATCGGCCGTAATTTCATTGAGTTGTATTTAACTTCAACAGTTCCTGGGAAAATTTGTCAGATACTCTACCATTAGGTTGCAGTGATGAGCCGCTTTTCACTTCGATCGTTCGCCGTTACCAAAACTAAAAGACTTTTTCAACTTCAAAATGTCTGCAATTCTTCTCGAAGGTTAGCTTTGTCTTCTGTCACACTCGAATGCAGTGGGCGCGATTGTTAGGGACGGCAGGTTATCCCCAACGCCACCGATAGGAAGGGCTGCGCGGGGTGTGGTCAACGTCCTTCCACCAATAACGTTGGCAACAACCGCCCGCCCACGGCATTCAATGTTCTTTTTCGTTGGAAAATACTGAGCACGTATGGTTAGGCTGCAGACTCCTCAGTAATTGTAATATTTCGCGGTATATGCCATTTCTTCTTTCTGGCTATAACTTTTCCTGATCGATTTCCTTTTGGGTATTTCCTTATATGCTTGTACATATAGATGTCATAATAAACTATATTCATGTTTTTGAGGGAATTCTCTTGTTTTTTCGGATTTCTGTAGCTGTACCGTACGGTTTTTATCTCAGCGACAGGTAATCCTCTATGTTCACATCAGGGCTAGACATCTGCTTGCTTTCCTAGCATCGTTCTTGGGGGTACATGCCGTTTCCTAGTTGGAGCGATTTTGGAGCCGACCCGAAGGCATCGTTTTTCCTCCTGTCCTAGACAATATTTGCAGATAATATTTGCTTGTCTATGTCAACAGTAAGCATGATGAAAGCAAGCAGGCGGCAAGTTCGGTCCACTGAGTGGTTGCGATGTTCGGGAAATTTTTAAAACGCGTGAGTAACTAAGTTGTTCTCTTTTCTTCCCTCAATCGCTAATGTGCTAACTTGGATCATTACTATTCATTATGATTCATTTCGCTTTTCGCTGAATTGGATCACCCTATCAATATTTAGTCAGGCATCCAGTAATAACTCTCCACCTTTTGATTTTACGAGTATAGTCAATGGCTTCCGGTCATTCCGTAAACAGCACGATTTTCGGCGCAGTTCGGTTTGGAGGGGTGTTTTGCTAGTCCCCATGTTAGTCAGAAATCCAACGTCTCATAGTCCACTTCTACGCAATAGTTCAGCTCCACCAGCGCCTCGACTCTTGACTGGGGAGAAGGGTCGCCTTGAAATTTTTTTTTGTTCTTGTGTTTTTCGATTACGTGATTACTCCATTGAGAGTGAGGGAGCAACGTTCGGTCACTCATTAACTTTGTTACTTTCCCTATCTAATTTATAGCGGTAGTTTACGCTCTTGGTGCAGTTTTATCGCTCTTTAATTGTTTAGCGAATGACCTTGAGACTAATTCAATTTACGATTCTCTATCGTCTCTAGTTTTCTTTGGCGTTTCTTCACGAAACCTTTTCCCCACTGCATTCTTCGGATTTCCTCTAGTTGAATGGGTATTATAGGAAAAACCAAAGGGAAAGC